TGGAGAAGGAGAAGGAGAAGGAGGACGACTGCATGCAGAGGATGAGGTGAGCCTGGCTGGCTGTAGATCTCCTTGTGTGGTGCTTGGGGCTCCTCAAGAGACGGTGGCGGCTGTGGATGCTGATGCTGTGACTGGAGAAGGAGAAGGAGAAGGAGGACGACTGCATGCAGAGGATGAGGTGAGCCTGGCTGGCTGTAGATCTCCTTGTGTGGTGCTTGGGGCTCCTCAAGAGACGGTGGCGGCTGTGGATGCTGATGCTGTGACTGGAGAAGGAGAAGGAGAAGGAGGACGACTGCATGCAGAGGATGAGGTGAGCCTGGCTGGCTGTAGATCTCCTTGTGTGGTGCTTGGGGCTCCTCAAGAGACGGTGGCGGCTGTGGATGCTGATGCTGTGACTGGAGAAGGAGAAGGAGAAGGAGGACGACTGCATGCAGAGGATGAGGTGAGCCTGGCTGGCTGTAGATCTCCTTGTGTGGTGCTTGGGGCTCCTCAAGAGACGGTGGCGGCTGTGGATGCTGATGCTGTGACTGGAGAAGGAGAAGGAGAAGGAGGACGACTGCATGCAGAGGATGAGGTGAGCCTGGCTGGCTGTAGATCTCCTTGTGTGGTGCTTGGGGCTCCTCAAGAGACGGTGGCGGCTGTGGATGCTGATGCTGTGACTGGAGAAGGAGAAGGAGAAGGAGGACGACTGCATGCAGAGGATGAGGTGAGCCTGGCTGGCTGTAGATCTCCTTGTGTGGTGCTTGGGGCTCCTCAAGAGACGGTGGCGGCTGTGGATGCTGATGCTGTGACTGGAGAAGGAGAAGGAGAAGGAGGACGACTGCATGCAGAGGATGAGGTGAGCCTGGCTGGCTGTAGATCTCCTTGTGTGGTGCTTGGGGCTCCTCAAGAGACGGTGGCGGCTGTGGATGCTGATGCTGTGACTGGAGAAGGAGAAGGAGAAGGAGGACGACTGCATGCAGAGGATGAGGTGAGCCTGGCTGGCTGTAGATCTCCTTGTGTGGTGCTTGGGGCTCCTCAAGAGACGGTGGCGGCTGTGGATGCTGATGCTGTGACTGGAGAAGGAGAAGGAGAAGGAGGACGACTGCATGCAGAGGATGAGGTGAGCCTGGCTGGCTGTAGATCTCCTTGTGTGGTGCTTGGGGCTCCTCAAGAGACGGTGGCGGCTGTGGATGCTGATGCTGTGACTGGAGAAGGAGAAGGAGAAGGAGGACGACTGCATGCAGAGGATGAGGTGAGCCTGGCTGGCTGTAGATCTCCTTGTGTGGTGCTTGGGGCTCCTCAAGAGACGGTGGCGGCTGTGGATGCTGATGCTGTGACTGGAGAAGGAGAAGGAGAAGGAGGACGACTGCATGCAGAGGATGAGGTGAGCCTGGCTGGCTGTAGATCTCCTTGTGTGGTGCTTGGGGCTCCTCAAGAGACGGTGGCGGCTGTGGATGCTGATGCTGTGACTGGAGAAGGAGAAGGAGAAGGAGGACGACTGCATGCAGAGGATGAGGTGAGCCTGGCTGGCTGTAGATCTCCTTGTGTGGTGCTTGGGGCTCCTCAAGAGACGGTGGCGGCTGTGGATGCTGATGCTGTGACTGGAGAAGGAGAAGGAGAAGGAGGACGACTGCATGCAGAGGATGAGGTGAGCCTGGCTGGCTGTAGATCTCCTTGTGTGGTGCTTGGGGCTCCTCAAGAGACGGTGGCGGCTGTGGATGCTGATGCTGTGACTGGAGAAGGAGAAGGAGAAGGAGGACGACTGCATGCAGAGGATGAGGTGAGCCTGGCTGGCTGTAGATCTCCTTGTGTGGTGCTTGGGGCTCCTCAAGAGACGGTGGCGGCTGTGGATGCTGATGCTGTGACTGGAGAAGGAGAAGGAGAAGGAGGACGACTGCATGCAGAGGATGAGGTGAGCCTGGCTGGCTGTAGATCTCCTTGTGTGGTGCTTGGGGCTCCTCAAGAGACGGTGGCGGCTGTGGATGCTGATGCTGTGACTGGAGAAGGAGAAGGAGAAGGAGGACGACTGCATGCAGAGGATGAGGTGAGCCTGGCTGGCTGTAGATCTCCTTGTGTGGTGCTTGGGGCTCCTCAAGAGACGGTGGCGGCTGTGGATGCTGATGCTGTGACTGGAGAAGGAGAAGGAGAAGGAGGACGACTGCATGCAGAGGATGAGGTGAGCCTGGCTGGCTGTAGATCTCCTTGTGTGGTGCTTGGGGCTCCTCAAGAGACGGTGGCGGCTGTGGATGCTGATGCTGTGACTGGAGAAGGAGAAGGAGAAGGAGGACGACTGCATGCAGAGGATGAGGTGAGCCTGGCTGGCTGTAGATCTCCTTGTGTGGTGCTTGGGGCTCCTCAAGAGACGGTGGCGGCTGTGGATGCTGATGCTGTGACTGGAGAAGGAGAAGGAGAAGGAGGACGACTGCATGCAGAGGATGAGGTGAGCCTGGCTGGCTGTAGATCTCCTTGTGTGGTGCTTGGGGCTCCTCAAGAGACGGTGGCGGCTGTGGATGCTGATGCTGTGACTGGAGAAGGAGAAGGAGAAGGAGGACGACTGCATGCAGAGGATGAGGTGAGCCTGGCTGGCTGTAGATCTCCTTGTGTGGTGCTTGGGGCTCCTCAAGAGACGGTGGCGGCTGTGGATGCTGATGCTGTGACTGGAGAAGGAGAAGGAGAAGGAGGACGACTGCATGCAGAGGATGAGGTGAGCCTGGCTGGCTGTAGATCTCCTTGTGTGGTGCTTGGGGCTCCTCAAGAGACGGTGGCGGCTGTGGATGCTGATGCTGTGACTGGAGAAGGAGAAGGAGAAGGAGGACGACTGCATGCAGAGGATGAGGTGAGCCTGGCTGGCTGTAGATCTCCTTGTGTGGTGCTTGGGGCTCCTCAAGAGACGGTGGCGGCTGTGGATGCTGATGCTGTGACTGGAGAAGGAGAAGGAGAAGGAGGACGACTGCATGCAGAGGATGAGGTGAGCCTGGCTGGCTGTAGATCTCCTTGTGTGGTGCTTGGGGCTCCTCAAGAGACGGTGGCGGCTGTGGATGCTGATGCTGTGACTGGAGAAGGAGAAGGAGAAGGAGGACGACTGCATGCAGAGGATGAGGTGAGCCTGGCTGGCTGTAGATCTCCTTGTGTGGTGCTTGGGGCTCCTCAAGAGACGGTGGCGGCTGTGGATGCTGATGCTGTGACTGGAGAAGGAGAAGGAGAAGGAGGACGACTGCATGCAGAGGATGAGGTGAGCCTGGCTGGCTGTAGATCTCCTTGTGTGGTGCTTGGGGCTCCTCAAGAGACGGTGGCGGCTGTGGATGCTGATGCTGTGACTGGAGAAGGAGAAGGAGAAGGAGGACGACTGCATGCAGAGGATGAGGTGAGCCTGGCTGGCTGTAGATCTCCTTGTGTGGTGCTTGGGGCTCCTCAAGAGACGGTGGCGGCTGTGGATGCTGATGCTGTGACTGGAGAAGGAGAAGGAGAAGGAGGACGACTGCATGCAGAGGATGAGGTGAGCCTGGCTGGCTGTAGATCTCCTTGTGTGGTGCTTGGGGCTCCTCAAGAGACGGTGGCGGCTGTGGATGCTGATGCTGTGACTGGAGAAGGAGAAGGAGAAGGAGGACGACTGCATGCAGAGGATGAGGTGAGCCTGGCTGGCTGTAGATCTCCTTGTGTGGTGCTTGGGGCTCCTCAAGAGACGGTGGCGGCTGTGGATGCTGATGCTGTGACTGGAGAAGGAGAAGGAGAAGGAGGACGACTGCATGCAGAGGATGAGGTGAGCCTGGCTGGCTGTAGATCTCCTTGTGTGGTGCTTGGGGCTCCTCAAGAGACGGTGGCGGCTGTGGATGCTGATGCTGTGACTGGAGAAGGAGAAGGAGAAGGAGGACGACTGCATGCAGAGGATGAGGTGAGCCTGGCTGGCTGTAGATCTCCTTGTGTGGTGCTTGGGGCTCCTCAAGAGACGGTGGCGGCTGTGGATGCTGATGCTGTGACTGGAGAAGGAGAAGGAGAAGGAGGACGACTGCATGCAGAGGATGAGGTGAGCCTGGCTGGCTGTAGATCTCCTTGTGTGGTGCTTGGGGCTCCTCAAGAGACGGTGGCGGCTGTGGATGCTGATGCTGTGACTGGAGAAGGAGAAGGAGAAGGAGGACGACTGCATGCAGAGGATGAGGTGAGCCTGGCTGGCTGTAGATCTCCTTGTGTGGTGCTTGGGGCTCCTCAAGAGACGGTGGCGGCTGTGGATGCTGATGCTGTGACTGGAGAAGGAGAAGGAGAAGGAGGACGACTGCATGCAGAGGATGAGGTGAGCCTGGCTGGCTGTAGATCTCCTTGTGTGGTGCTTGGGGCTCCTCAAGAGACGGTGGCGGCTGTGGATGCTGATGCTGTGACTGGAGAAGGAGAAGGAGAAGGAGGACGACTGCATGCAGAGGATGAGGTGAGCCTGGCTGGCTGTAGATCTCCTTGTGTGGTGCTTGGGGCTCCTCAAGAGACGGTGGCGGCTGTGGATGCTGATGCTGTGACTGGAGAAGGAGAAGGAGAAGGAGGACGACTGCATGCAGAGGATGAGGTGAGCCTGGCTGGCTGTAGATCTCCTTGTGTGGTGCTTGGGGCTCCTCAAGAGACGGTGGCGGCTGTGGATGCTGATGCTGTGACTGGAGAAGGAGAAGGAGAAGGAGGACGACTGCATGCAGAGGATCCCCGCCCTCTTCCTTTGATTCAACCTCGATTCGACGCTCATCACTGCCCCTTCTTGGTCGTTTTCTTACCTTCCTTCCCATCCTCCTTCCCTCTCCTCATTCGCCACAGCGAGTAGAACAGGAACTGCTATCAGACCTCTTCACGCTCGTCACTGCTTATCTTGGACCCACCCTTCCCCTCCTGCCTGTCCTCCTTTCCCTCTCTTTCCTTACTCCCCTTATTGGGATCCACGACGGCTTTAACCTCTGCCCTCCCGACCCGACCCCCTTCCTCAACGTCACCTCTCTTGCTGCCCTCCCCAACCTCGTGCTCCCCTCATCCCTTCATCTCCCCAGCGAGTGGAGGAGGAGTTGCTGTCAGACGTCTTCACGCTCATCACTGCCGGCCGGATCCACGACGCCCTCAACCTCTGCCGGGCGGCGGGGCAGACCTGGCGGGCGGCGGTTCTCGGCGGGACATGGGCCGCGCCGCCCAGCGCCGGGGCGGCAGGGGAGAGCTTCCCCACAGCCGCCACATGGCAGGAGATGAGTGGAGGGGCGAGGCGGGCGGCACAGGCGGGGGAGGTGGAGGGGGGGAAGGGGCGGGGTAGGCGGCTGTGGAAGTGGTCTCTACTGGTGGCCTCTGAGGCTTCGAGCAGTCGGTTTGAGGCGGCTGTGCTGGGAGCGCTGTGTGGCAATGTGAAGAGGATACTGCCTGCCTGCACGTCATGGCAGGTGCGCGTGTGTGTGTGTCCTTCAGAGGTGCCTTGCGGTGGCTGAGCATGCCTGGGCTACATGGGGGGCTAATATGGGTTGAGTTGAGGGAAGGGGAGGGGAAGGCGGCTGTAGAAGTGGTCTCTGCTGGTGGCCTCTGAAGCTTCCACCAGCCGGTTTGAGGCGGCGGTGCTGGGAGCGCTGTGTGGGAATGTGAAGAGGATTCTGCCCGTTTGCACCTCGTGGCAGGTGGGTGCATGTGTGTGCGCAGGCGTGTATGGGCTTTGGAGGAACCTTGAAGGGCTGATTGAACATGCTTGGGCTACCGGGTGGGGGGGTGGGGGGGTGGGGGGGATAAGATGGGTAGAGCATGGGGTTGACAAGGAGGCTGTGGAAGTGGTCTCTGCTGGTGGTGTCTGAAGCTTCTAGCAGTCGTTTTGAGGCAGCGGTGTTGGGAGCGCTGTGTGGCAATGTGAAGAGGATTCTGCCCGTTTGCGCGTCATGGCAGGTGAGTGTGCCTGTGCGTGTGCATGCATGTGTGTGTTACAGAGGTACCGTATTGAGGCGGCTGTGCCGGGGTGTCACGTGGCGTATGTGTGATAGGGTGGGTGTGAAGTTTGCGGCTTGCATTTGGTTTCACTCTTTCGATTTCCTTTCTTTGCTTCCCTCCCCCGCCTGCCCAACATGCCTCAACCAGATGGCCTTCTGGGCATTGCTCGTTGGTAGAGGCATCTCACACTATTAGTTCTGCCCAGCATTGCTGCGCTGCTGGCTCGTTGGTTGGGAAGAACTATCAAGAACCAACTTGCATTCGACGCCTTTCGTTTCCCTTTCTCCCCCCTCCCGCCTCCCCCCCCTGCGCCCAACATGTCTCTATCAGACGGCCTGCTGGGCATTGCTGCGCTGCTGGCTCGACTTCCAGGTGAGCACTGAATAGCCATCCATCCATCCCCGAGAGTCCATTGGCATGTGACCCGTCATAAACAAACCCCATGTTTTGTGGCGCCTAAAAAATAGCATCCCCAGGACACCATTTGCTTATGATACGTCATAAGATCCCTCATGCATACATGCATGCATAGGACAGCTTTGCATACTCATGCATACATGCATGCATAGGACAGCTTTGCATACTCATGCATACATGCATGCATAGGACAGCTTTGCATACTCATGCATACATGCATGCATAGGACAGCTTTGCATACTCATGCATACATGCATGCATAGGACAGCTTTGCATACTCATGCATACATGCATGCATAGGACAGCTTTGCATACTCATGCATACATCCATGCATAGGACAGCTTTGCATACTCATGCATACATGCATGCATAGGACAGCTTTGCATACTCATGCATACATGCATGCATAGGACAGCTTTGCATACTCATGCATACATGCATGCATAGGACAGCTTTGCATACTCATGCATACATGCATGCATAGGACAGCTTTGCATACTCATGCATGCACACGTGTGTCCTGCGCTCATCCCATCACTCTCTTACCTCCTCACCATCCCCCTCTGCAGGTCGAAGCTCACCTCTCCGCCTCCTCTTCTCCGCCCCTCCCTCGCGCCCTCCCATCCGTCTCCGCCGCTGCCACCCGTGCTCTCGCCTCCATCTCCCCCGCTCCCTTCCTCTCCTCCTCCTCCGCCTCCGCTCTCGCCGCTACAACCATCTCCCTTGCACCATCTTCCTCCTCCTCATCAGCAGCAGGATTGGCAGCGTCAGCAGCAGCGGCGGTGTCAACAGCAGCGGGAGCGGCAGTGTGGCCGGCACCAGTGGCGGCACAGCAACCAGCGGATTTTGACGATCTCTTTCAGAAGCTCAGAACCAGGTGCGTGGGTGGGTGGGTGGGTGGGTGGGTCGGTCGGTGGGTCTGTCATGGGCTGTTTTTGTGGTGCCTCAACACAGCAGCCAACAGATTATGGGGCTTTCCTAAAGAAGCTGAGCTGAGAAGCCTCCTGCTGTTCTCTCAACACACCCCTTCCTTTTTCCACCATCTTCCCTTCCCTTTCACCCGTTCCCCGGGGATTTCCCATGCAGCCCCGCTCTCCCAGACGCCGTCAAGCGCAGCAGCACCGAGCCTCACCACGTGCTGCACACCTAGCCCACTGTCTCATCCCCTTCTTCCCCCTTCCTTCCCACTCCTCGCCCCATTTCCCTCCCATGCAGCCCCTCTCTCCCCGACGCCGTCAAGCGCAGCAGCACCGAGCCTCACCACGTGCTGCAGACGCACCTCATTCTCAGGAACGTTCCAGGAACCATCCAGGCGCTGCGGTCGTGGATCATCCCCTCTGTAGCTCCCTCGGGATTGGCTTCTTCTCTGGGCGGCACGTTGGACAGCGAGTAGGTGCCCTCCCTCCCCCTCTCAGTGAGGCTGGCAAGTAGGTGCTGTCCCTCTCCCCTCCTGTTTGAGTCGACTCAAAGCTGCGGCCGTGGATCATCCCGTCGGTGGCTCCCTCGGGATTGGCTGCCTCTCTGGGCGGCACTCTCGAGAACGAGTAGGTCCTCCTCTCCATCTACGTTGCTAAATACGAGTACCGAGTATAATACTTTAGCGTATTATACGCTTGGTATATACGCGGTACGCCAAGGCTGGCGTACTGCTGATACGCTGGCGGGCAGCTAAAACTTTTTTTCCCGGGCAGGTATAAAAAAACCTGTTTCAGGGGGGGGTGTTCAGGCCGACAACAACACATGTCAATATTTTATTTCATAAATATCCAGAAATACATAGTTCATCCACATAATCCCCACCCTCTAGCGAGCTTCCCCACACGCGCTAGGAGGGGTGGAGTTCGACGCCATGGGGCGCGACTAAGGAACGGTAAACTGCTTGAGGAAAACGGGAGATCAGAGCTCGGGAATGAAATTGAGGAGGAGAGAAACGAATGAAGGATACGAAGGCGTCAACGAGTAAATGCTCACATGACGTGCTGGACATTTGAGAGGGGTGGTTGGATATGAGAGGTTTGGTGGGGTGGTGTGTGGTTGGGGTGGTGGGAGGTTTGGATTCTGAAATTTGAATTTCAGACGTGGGTTGGGCGATGTGCTTGGTCGCGTAACCAGTCGCGAAGCCCTAATAACCGTCGCAAATTTTTTTCAATTTCGATTTTTTTTTTCGCCGGGCTGCCCGCGCGTTTTTTCACGAATTCGAAACGTATTAGCGTACCACGTACGTACGCAATCGTATATACGTGGTACGCCACCTTACCCAGAGCGTATTTGGCAACGTAGCTCTCCATTTCTCTTTCTCTTCCTCAGGCCAGCCCAAGTGGGTTTTCTTTAGTGTGCTTGCACATGGTCTCGGCACCATCTCGTGTTGCATACTGTGCTTGATCCACCTGCTGCTGCCCCATGCACCCTTCCCCTTTTGCCACAATCCACCGCCCACACTCCCGTGCTTGCCCTGTTTTCATGCCTCACCCACCCCCCCTGTCCCCCTGTACTGCTTGACCTCCTTCCCCCCCCCCCTGCCTTTCCGTTCGCACAATCCATTTTTCTCCTCCCTCTGCCCCCCTTCTCCTGTGCCCTCTTCTTTCTCCCCCCTCCCAGCTCTGACCCTGCTTTGGTGCGTTGTGGGGCGCACCTGGTGGTGCTGCTGCGCTCCGTGCTGCCACCCGCTGCTCGCCAGCAGTACCGGGACTGGATCAACACGTCAGGAGACGTTATCCTGTACACGTGAGTGTGGCAGGCAGGCAGCATGTCCTTGTGCAGGTGGTTCCTGGTGCAGGTGCATCTGGTGCACCAGGCACATCAATCATCAGTGGCTCGCCAGCAGTACAGGGACTGGATCAACACATCAGGAGACGTCATCCTGTACACATGAGTGTGCATGATGCAGGTGATACCTGGTGCAGGTGATACCTGATGCAGGTGATATCTGGTGCAGGTGATACCTGATGCAGGTGATACCTGATGCAGGTGATACCTGGTGCAGGTGATACCTGGTGCAAGTGGTACACGTTACAGGGTGTTATCACTATGCCATACTTTACGCCTCTCTGCCACTCTCTTGGTCAGTCTTTCCAGATTCCCTTCCGTGTTCGCTGCTTCTCTTCCCTCTCCCCCGTGCATCATCCAAACGCTCCCCACCCCATCCCATCAGCTACTGTGTGCTACTAGCAGCGCAGCGCAGGGACCATCTCACACCGCTCTATGCATCGCTGCTCCTCACGTCCTCCCTTTTTTCCCCGTTCTCCAATGCTCTCCCCATTCCCTGCCCTTTCTGCCTATCAGCTACTGTGTGCTACTAGCAGCGCAGCGCAGGGACCATCTCACGCCGCTCTATGCATCGCTGCTCCTCACGTCCTCCCTTTTTTCCCCGTTCTCCAATGCTCTCCCCATTTGCCTGCCCTTTCTGCCTATCAGCTACTGTGTGCTACTAGCAGCGCAGCGCAGGGACCATCTCACGCCGCTCTATGCATCGCTGCTCCTCACGTCCTCCCTTTTTTCCCCGTTCTCCAATGCTCTCCCCATTTGCCTGCCCTTTCTGCCTATCAGCTACTGTGTGCTACTAGCAGCGCAGCGCAGGGACCATCTCACGCCGCTCTATGCATCGCTGCTCCTCACGTCCTCCCTTTTTTCCCCGTTCTCCAATGCTCTCCCCATTCCCTGCCCTTTCTGCCTATCAGCTACTGTGTGCTACTAGCAGCGCAGCGCAGGGACCATCTCACGCCGCTCTATGCATCGCTGCTCCTCACGTCCTCCCTTTTTTCCCCGTTCTCCAATGCTCTCCCCATTCCCTGCCCTTTCTGCCTATCAGCTACTGTGTGCTACTAGCAGCGCAGCGCAGGGACCATCTCACGCCGCTCTATGCATCGCTGCTCCTCACGTCCTCCCTTTTTTCCCCGTTCTCCAATGCTCTCCCCATTCCCTGCCCTTTCTGCCTATCAGCTACTGTGTGCTACTAGCAGCGCAGCGCAGGGACCATCTCACGCCGCTCTATGCCTCGCTACTGCTCACGCCCTCCCTCGCCTCTGACTTCTTCCTTCAACTCTTCGAACAGCGCAAGACAGACAGGTACGTTCCTGTGGTGGTGGTGCTGGTGGTGGCTGTGTAGTGGTGGTGTTGCTGCTGCTGCTGCTGCAGCTGCTGCGAACGAATCTTGGGTCCCCTTGCATTTCAGCCCCATTTCATGTTGCTGCAGCTGCTGCGAACGAAGCATCCAACAGCCCCCTTTCATTCCATCCAACAGCCCCCTTTCATTCCATCCCCCTTTTCACTAGCCTCGTCGCGTTACTCTCTCGCTTCGATTCCCGCTCTCCTCGTCCTTTCTTTTCCCTCGTCCTATACCCGCATGCTCCATCTCTCCCCTCCATCGTCCCCTTCTCGGGATCTCTACCTCCTCTCTCCTTTTTTTTTTTTTTGAATCTCAAAAAACAGATACACCCTTCTCGGGATCTCGACCATCTCTCTCCTCCCTCCTCCCTTTGTCTCACCAGTGTGGAGGCAAAGAGGCGGACAGTGGAGGCGCTGTGTCTGCACCTCCCTCTCTCCGGCCCTGACTCGGTCCCCACCATGCTGCACAGGTGCGCCCCTCTCTTCTCCTCGCTCATTCACATGCCAACTACATTGCACGGGTGCACTGACATTTCCCACCCTTGCCTTTTTCATCAACCATCTTCCACTACCTCCCGCCCTCCCTCTTTCGTTGACCCCTTTCTTTCCCACTTGGGCACGTCCCCTTCTCCTCCTCTTCCCCGATCCCCTTTCTTCTCGCCCTACCCTTCCCCATCTCCTTTCCCCTCCCCCTGCCCCCCTTCCCCCAACCCCTTCCCCTCCCCCCTCCCACCCCACCAGGTTTCTCTCCAAGTGCTCCCATTGGTCAGACCCGGGGGTCCTGCCGGCCTCTGATTGGCCGAGAGCAGTGCTGGCGGATCTGAGGGGACAGGTGGCGGCGTTTGAGTGGGCAGTGACGGACCCCACTGCGCCAGCGACAGTGGGCAGTGCGGAGTGGGGCAGGGAGAGGAGGAAGATGCAGCGACTAGCCCTGCAGCACGGGTGAGAGAGTGAGAGTGAGGGTGATGGAGAGGGTTGAGAGGGCGATTGGTAAGAAACTGTTTGGATGGCATGGTGTGAACAGCAGTGCTTCTGAAATGGAAGAACCTCACTATAACTCCTCTTGCTTTTTCCTCTCCCTGCTCTATCCCTTTCTCGCACGCCCTCTTTCCAGGAATCTTCTGCTGCGCGCCATGCTCCTGGCGGCACACGCGGAGGGCGGCAGCAGCAGCGGCAGTCCGTCCAGCCAATCAGGGCGCTCCGTTGCCGCCCTGCTGGCAGATACAGTCGCCGGCATTCACACAGAGAGGGAGGCGAGGCGAGGCCAGCAGGGGGAGGAGCGAGAGGAGCGAGAGGAAGAGGGGGATGAGGAGGAAGGGGAGAGTGTGGAGCTCAGCGAGTTTGACTTCTGGGTATGTTGGTCTATTTTTGGGTATGTTGTGTGTTGTCCCCCCCTCCTCCCATCGCCTCCTCCTCCACTCATCGTCTCCCCCTTCCCCCATCATCTCCTCTTCCCCAATCGTCTCCCCTCCACTCATAGTCTCCCCTTCCCCCATCATCTTCCATTCTCCCCCATCCCACCCTCCACACTGCCTCCCATTGGTCCAGGTGGATTACATCGCTGCTGATGTGGCGTACCGTGGTTGGGCCACGGCAGCAGCAGCAGCGACAGAGCGAAGGGAAGAGCAGCAGGGAGGCGGGCAGATGGGGGGGGCGGGGCAGGAGGAGGGGGAGGCGGAGAGGGAGAAGGAGCGAGCAGACCTCTTATCTCTGGCTAGTCGGGCTGTCTCTATTGGCATGCAGCTACTGCAGAGTACGTCCTTACCTTCTCTCGTCTTTTAAAGCAACAGAGGCCAGGCAATCCTGCCTCTTCTCTGCTTGAAGGCATCTCAAACTCGTGCCATCTCCATTCGCGCACTGTTGTTTCAAAGTGCGTTTCCTTACGTGCCTTCTGCTCCTTCCGGCTGTTACCCCCTCTCCCTATCCACCCTTATTCCTCTCCCACCATCCCCAGGGGAAGCCTCATCAACCATGCGACTTCAAGTCACCCCACAACAACAACGCAACCACCAGCAGCAGCAGGGCAGAGAGCACGTGGTGCTGGCGTGTGTGGCGGTGCTGGCCCCCTCAGGGGCTCTCGTGCCAGGCGATGCCTCCCTCTGTGCCGCCATGCACTCAGCGCTCATGGCATGTGTGGGGGATGAGGAGGCAGAGGCACGGCAAGTCAGAGTGAGTGTGACGGTTTGGGAAGCAGTGTTGTGGGGGAAGCAGTGTGCTCGGGTGTGAGTCAGGACGCATTGTGATCCTGTCCCAGTAGACGCCTCTCTGTGTGCCGCCATGCACGCAGCACTCATGGCACGCAGTGTGCAGTGGTGCTCGGTGATCCTGTCCCAGTAGACGCCTCTCTGTGTGCCGCCATGCACGCAGCACTCATGGCACGCAGTGTGCAGTGGTGCTCGGTGATCCTGTCCCAGTAGACGCCTCTCTGTGTGCCGGTGCCGCCACGCACGCAGCACTCATGGCATGCATGAAAAGGCGAGAAATGGAGGCATTGCATTTTCCCCCTCTCTCCGCCACTCCCCCCTTTCTCTCCATCCCTCAGGTGGACGTGGCAGTTCATCCCTCCGACTCGCGCCTCCTCACGCTTGCCATTCGCTGCCTGGGTACTGGAGGGCAAGTGGGAGCGAGTGAGGCAGTGAGTGTGGATGTGGAGAGCCCTGCTGTTCGCATCATGGCCCGAGTAGTCAAAGGTGCGTTCTGCTTCCAGTGAACACTAGAGGTGGGGGGGGGAGAGGTTGGTGAGGAGCAATGTGTGCGTTGCTTCTCGCACCTGCCGGATTCTGTACTTACCCCCATTACCATCTCTTTTCTGCACTACTTCTTGATCCTCCTCCCCTCCCTCACTCTTCTGTTGCTCTTCCGCATCCTCTCTTTTTTTCCTTGTTACCCACCCAGCGGAACTACCTCACATGGACCCTGCTGCTCGCATGCACGTGGTGCGCTGTGCACTGCACCTTACTTCCTCTCGCTCTCCCTCTGGTCCCCTCTCCCTCCATTTCTCCATCTCTTCCCCTCTCTTCCCAGCGGAACTGCCCCACATGGACCCTGCTGCTCGGATGCATGTGGTGCGCTGTGCTGCCTTCACCAACTTACCCACCCACCGCCCAAGCCTCTCCCGAACCACTGTAGACAGCTTTGGCACCATGGCAGCAGCGGAGGCTCGGGGTGCCGAGCCTGCACCGTGGCTCATGCGCCGACTGTGCCGTGTGTGCTGCCTTCCCACCCTTGCCTTGCGCTGCCAGGAGGTGGGTCTTGCTCTGTCTGTAATTCTGTTCAGATGAACGTGTTTGGGAATAAAATTATTACTGTGTGTGCATGTGTGTCTCTGTGTTTGCTTGCATACATGGGTTGCAGTTGGGGTGTCGGTTCTAGTGCCGTCAGTGCTTCTGTGCGTCTCAACTTCATTGCTTTCTTACACACATTTTTTTTTTTTTGTCACAATCGTTTTATGCAGGTGCGGGTGTTTATGGCACAGCAGCTGGAGCCATCAGTGCATGTGGATCCGGCAGCAGCAGGAGAGGTGATGGAAGCAACTGATGTGGCAGCTCTGGTGGCTCAAGGCACGCTGCATCAACTCTTCACACCACAGCAGCTCCAGGTGAGTCTCGTCTTACTTTTTTTTTTTTTTTTTTTTTTTGTCAATCTGGCAGCTTGCTTTACATTGATATTGCTCTGGTGTTTGCGTGACATTTGTTGTTTCTGGCCCTCTATGCTGTTTGTTCTCCAGAAAATGTTACTTATGGAAAGGGAGGTGGTTCTCAGCTCCATCAACCAAGGGTAGTCAGTGTTGCTAAGTGGACATGACTGCTGCATTACCGTACATTATCTTTCATACGGAATTTGTTGAAATGTGAAGATGTATTCGTTAGTGCGAGCTGTTTTCGCGTGTTTTCTGAAATTGATTCTAAGAAAGCCCTTCGAAACTTCGCTCCGATTAGTGCTTCTTTTTCTATTGGCTGGCGCGCGTGCCACATGCAATTGCGACAGAGCCTGTCACCTTCACACGCCGTTAAGCCATCCTATTGGCTATGCGTTCTCTGCAGAAGTGTGCGACGAAGGCTCTGAAATCGCATGCGACCCGTTCACCGCTGGAAGAACATGTTGACTGCTCGGGGCGCAGTGGCGGAACCGCACGCCGCGAAACGCCCATTCATCCAAATTGCGCGACATGGAAGCGACAGAACAAATTCCACCTCCTCCTCACCCCACAGCATTGCCCTACAGTTTGCCAAGCAGATTCAGCACGACTACACCGCCCAGCAACATCAACACTTGTCAGAGAGACGGACAGTGCCGTTCATTGTTCACAAGGTGTCCACTGAAAATACTCGAAACTCTCTAGGAGGCTGTTCAATCAAACTGGTCATTGACGTGTCGAAAAGCGGGACACGGCTCCTCCGCTTATACTTCAATGAAAGTTCCTCGCAATTCAAGCCAGATTGCCTTCTGCGCAATCAGCGAAACCGCACTCGCTAAACATACAACCTTACTGGTGTTCAAATAAAAGGCAGTAACCCCAGTACAACAGATTCATAAGGCAGAGGTGGCTCCGTCGAAACATAATCCATTACTCGTCGTTAGTTCAGCGTACTCCATTTCCTTGCATTCTAGGCCGCCGTGGTCCATCACTGTTTCGTCCTTGACCATCGCACTCGACTGCTGGATTGCAGTCATGAGAGAATCTGCATTATCGCCACCATCAGCGCGTCGCTTAATCACACATCGCGCACTTGCTCTCCTTTGCCTAGCGGCCCTACCACTGCTCTCTCTCGGTAAGCCCTGTCCCTGCTTCGTGAAGCTTTGAGCGTTTTTGAGTCAGCTGGTATCTGTAGATTCTCAAAACAACACTCCTGCTTTGCCTCCCGGCCCTTCCACTGCTCGCTCTCGGTAAGCCCCGAAGTGGCCATCCCTGTTCCGTGAAGTTCCAATCACTGCCGTTGCACAAGGCACGCACTATACCGTCCGCCGCCTATTGCTGTCCGAGTTTTTCTCACTCTCTTCGGCTCGTCGGTACCCAATGCGTCTCAATTCGCCGCACATTCTCGCCACGCCCTTCACCCGTCCGTTCCCGCTCGTTCTCAACCCGGTGCCTACCCCATTTTAATCAGAACAAAGAAATCCGTCCGTTTATAATCACTGTCTCCGCCGCCTTCCACCCACCAACACGCCTGCACAACTACGTCAGCGAGATATGATTGTCTTGTAGTGCTCACCTTTTCCCCGTCTGTCGTTCTATCCCCGTTACAGCGAAGAGCTCGTCGTCGTCCGAATTCCTCCCCCCGCCGCCCTCCTGGCCCGAGGAGTACGCGGGAGTTGCGCCGCTTCCCCCCGACGACTCCGCCGCCACCTTCCACGTGGCGGACTACGGCGCGCAGCCCGACGGCCGCGGGGATAGTTGGGGCGCCTTCCGCCGCGCCTTTGACGCCGCCTGCAAGCTCGCGGAGGCGGAAAGCGTGCGCGTCCGCGTGCTCGTCGCTCCGCCGTCCGCGGAAGGATCCTCCGGAGGAAGCTCTTCCGCGGGAACATCATCCAAGGATGGCGGTACTGCGAAGGATTCGGGCAGAATCGCTAGTACGAAAAGCACCAGCGACAGCGCCACTGGCAGCGGGATTGACACGTCATCAGGCAACGACTCGTCCGCAAATAGCGATCCTAACAATACCGCGGATAACATGCCCCATCTTCCGCCTGTCGTGAACGTGACAATGCCGGACGTCAACGTTAACGTTAACGTCGACAATTCGATCGCTAAAGTGGACGCGTTGAAGGGTTCCAGCGGAGGAGGCGGCAACAACAACGGCGGGGGAAGCGGCGGAAGCGGCGCGCACGCGGTTAGCGATACGATGCAGTGGCTGCTCAACCATCGTGGGCTGGCGCAAAAGAACCGCGGGCTGGCGGAGAGGAGGTTGGCGGAGCGGAGGCGCAGACTGGCGGAGCGGAACCGTGTGCTGGCGGAGCAGAGCCGAGAGGCGGACGGGAACAGCGTCAAGTACTATCTCAGCCGTTCGATCACGGTGAACGGATCGTGCGGCGCTGGTTTGACGCTGCAAATCGACGATGCGACGATCTACGGTCCCAAGACCGCGGAGGGCTATCCCGAACCGTCGCTGTACATTAACGAGGATAAAATCGGCGTGGCGAGTAACGGCATGTTCCGGTTCGTAGGCGTGACGGGGCTGGTCATACGCGGTAGTGGCAGCCTCGACGGCAACGGCGAGGGGTACTGGGATACCGAGGCGCACGACCGGCCGCACCTGCTGTCGCTGATCCAGTGCCGCGAGGTCATTCTCGATGGCGTGGCTCTGCGGTGAGTAACTTGACGATCCCCCCCAATCCCCTCCCCCCAGCAATCCCCCCACTGGGTAAGGCACAATCCCCCCATATACCACGTCTTCTCCTACAGCATCGACTGGCCCTTCCCCCCTGCTCCCCTTTTGCTCATTCTCTCCGCTTCCTCCACCCCCCTCCCCCCCCTCTCTTCCCCCATCCCCCAGCAATCCCCCCATGTACCATGTCTTCTCCTACGGAATTGACTGGCTGTGGGTGAGGAGATTTACTACCAACGCGCCTGACGAGTCGCCCAACACGGACAGCCTTAAACTCCTGGGCGTGCGCCACGCGCTCATCGAGAATTGCACCTTCCACGGAGGCGATGATGACGTGTCACTGGTGGCACGTGGCAGCCAAGCAGTGGCCAACGTGACGGTCCGAAATCTGATCGCCACGTCAGGGCACGGGATCAGCATCGGGAGTTTGGGAGCTGGGGGCGCAGTCGCGTGTGTGTCAGATGTGAGCTTTAAGGATCTGATTTTATCGGATCTGTCGAATGGGTTGAGGATCAAGACGTGGCAGGGCGGCTTGGGAGTGGTGCGGAATGTACAGTACGAGAATGTGTACATGACAAACATAGAGCGGGCCATTACGCTTGACCAGGTATGACAGACAGTCCATACACCTCCTCTCACGACTATCACTAATCACGTTGGCTTGGGTGTGGTGTAGAATGTACAGTACGAGAACGTGTACATGACAAACATCGAACGGGCGATCACACTTGATCAGGTAAGACATTCTATACACCTCCCTTCACAGCCAGCACTACTCATGCTCACTGTCTTTCTCCCTGCACAGCCATCTTCGTGAATGTTTCAGTTTGATCCTTTCTCATGCTCTTTCTTATGGCATGCCGCTTGTTCTCACGCCTGTTCGTGCTCCCGACGCTTCACAACGTTACGGTGATGGCAAGTGACTTTTGAGTCGACTCAAAGAGGTGACTTTTGAGTCGACTCAAAAGTCATCTCACTCCTGTTCGTGCTCCCGACGCTTCACAACGTTACGGTGATGGCAAGTCTGCACACAGTTCTGCAAGCTCCACAGTGGTCCTCAAACCCCCGTTTGTGTCCTTTTCCCCCTCATCCCCATCGACACGTGGCAGTTCTACTGTGACGACAATCAGGACTTCCCCTGCGAGCCATCGCCCCACAACGTGGCTCTGCTATGATGGCAAGCCCGCAAACAGTCCAGCAAGTTCCATAATGGTCCTCAAACCCCCCCTCGTGCCCTTTTTCCCCTCATCCCCACCAACACCTGGCAGTTCTACTGTGACGACAATCAGGACTTCCCCTGCGAGCCATCGCCCCACAACGTGGCACTCGTAAACATCTCGTACACCGATGTGTTCGGCACCGCCTCCAAGTAAGTGGATTTCAGGTCATTGAAAAACATATCGTTCCAGTCAACTCATAACTCACCGTATGAATCCAAAGCCATCGCCCCACAACGCGGCACTGGTGAACATCTCGCACACAGATGTGTACGGTACCGCCTCCAAGTAAGTGGCTCCTTAGTCTACCCAATACATATCTTTGGTATACCCAGTTGACTCAAAAGGCGCCTTATGAGTCATCCACGACTTTTATTCGTCAACGGTACCGCTTCCAAGTGAGTGGCTTTCCAGCACCTTCTCTCTTCATTCCTCCCCCAAGCCATCGTGCTGCTGTGATCCACTCGTCCATAGTCACATGCCAACCAAGACATCTGCTTGCGCTGACCTGTTACAGTGCTCTGTCACGTTTTCCTGTTTCAATCCTTTACTGCAGGTATGCAATGGACATGGAGTGTAGCGATACAGTGCCCTGCACTGGCATCTCCCTGAACAATGTCAAGCTGGGGGGGACAAGCTCGAGCACCAAGGAGCCAGTCTTCAAGAACATTCTGTCGAGCCATGCTGTGGGTGACGTGGCTCCATTGCCAGAGCACATGACATCTTATGAGGAATGGGGTGTTGGTACACCTACTGATAAGCAAGTAGCAAGCATAGAAGAGATGATGGCAAAATGCACGTGATCATGGTCTACGGCTAGAGCCGTTGCCATGCTGTACCATAATATGGGAGTTAGGATTGAATATGGTAGGCCAGCCATCATCACTATCTGATGTGATGCAGGAGCTTATAGACAAAGCGGACCCCGCAGTTTGAGTTGCAGGCCCATTCATATACTATATTATAAAGTTGTCTGGTTATTGCTTGATCATATATCTGAATTGGGTTGATCACTCGCATGCATGCAAGAGCCCTGTCGTGTTAAGTGTGAAATATTGCCTACGGGCAAAAACTTTCCTTACATGCCAAAACCAAAGATGTTGTTGACATCCATGATGTGGCCCACGGACTTGTGAAAAAACTAGCTATTAGCATTGACTTATTCAAGCTGGGAGTATAAAAATAATGACAGTAAGTATTTTACAAGCACCGCACTGTGGCAAGTATATTAGCATAAAAAGGTGTAATTGAGCAAGCTCAACAGTTCGTGCAGACCTTTCAAGAGAGTCAGCCTCTATCGAGCCTCATATGATATGGGCTGCAAGGTCGAACACGAAGCCCAAAAGCTCTGTCCCCAAAACCCCCCTCAAAGTTGGTTCATTCGCCCTCCCCACACCTCGCCTTTACCCTGACAACTCCCCCCCCCTTCCCCCATCTCCGCGTAATTCTACCATGCATTGTCGCACTTTCGGTGTGCTGCGCGCAAACTCCCGTTCCCCGAGCCCCCCCTATTCTTTCCCCCCTAATCATTCCCCCCTCGCCTCCTACACATACCTCCTGCCGCATATGCTAGGATCCTTTCGGACCTTTTTCTTCCTCTCGGGTCTCCGTAACTCCCGCTCGCGCAACTGGCGCTGCTGCAGCACTTTAAGTACCACTCGTAGCCTTTCCCTTTCCCAGAGTTAAGGAGAATCTAAGAGTCGCAGCCATGGCGGAAGCAAAGGCCTGCACCGTGCGGACGCGCAAGTTTATGACCAACCGTCTGCTGCAGCGGAAGCAGTTTGTGAGCGTCCTCCCTGGCCCTCGTCCTTCCTTCTTTACGCGTTTAATCCGGGTTAGGTTAATCCTAGTAAGCTTGGTTTGGCCTTTGGCTTGTAGGCGTATCGTGAGCACAGCCGAGCATAGTTCGTGGCGCGCCTTGCCCGTTAGCCTCGTCCCTGCGACGTTGTGTGGTTTGAAGCTTAGGTGCGCTAGCCACAGAGCCATCTGTGTGCGCAGAGCTCAACGGGAGAGCGCATTATTCTTCCTGCCCGTTTGATCAATCAGTCGACTGTAGTCCATACGTGGGTAGTGCAGCCTTGGAGTAGTTTGAAAAACATTTTCGAATTCTGTTTTGACGGTTTTTGCACGGGTGTGGCGCTACGGCGAGTGACGCGGGTACGCCAGCCTTAATCTTCTCGAGGTTTGTCGCATAGTCTGATGAAGTCTCGCAGAGCCTCGCGATCGCATCTTTTAGGGTTCGCCGCAGTCGCAGGAGCGTTCGTTTTGAGGTCGATCGAAGGCAGCGGCGTGCTGGCGTCTGAAGGCATGCAGACCTCGGTGTGACTCGTCACGGTGGAGGTTGGGGCGTGGCGGTTCGAATCCTAGTAATGCTAGAGCTCTGCACAAAGGAGTGTGTAGTAGTATTAGCGCCTGCAATGGAGTATGCGGTGGCTGGTTCAGCTGGGTAGTGCCAGAGCTCTGCATTCGACGCACTGTTAGGTTACAGATTCACGGACCGCATAGTGGATTTGTCATTGAGGGCAGCTGGGGATGTAGCGTCGATGCGAGGGTGATCGCACGAGACGAGCACTAGTTTCGTCACTTTTAGGGTTCCGCTGTCACGCGGCTTATGAGTACCGGAAGCAATCAGGGTTCCGTTGTTTTTTGCCAGCTCTGCAGTTCGCCTGTCGTTCCCTTTCCACACTCCTATTACCCTGTGTGACATGCGTTTTGGCGACGTTTTCAAGTCGGCTTATAAACCCCTGCACGTGTTTATGTTGTCTCGTGCCTTTGTTACTCTCTTTCAAAACTCACCTGAAACAGCGAGGGAAGGCCAGATTTACCCTTTTCCAATGTGACCCTCCATTCTTGCTTTGCTTTCATCCTTCCAATCGCTGCACCCACCGCCTTTGCCTTAGACTCTCTCAGCAGACACTTTTTGCCCCATACGTTCCCCCACCCCCCCTCCCTTCTCCCCCTTCCATTCTCGCTCGCCTAATCTCCCTCCATTTGCTGAGCGTTCGCCTTTTCTCCGTTGTCGGCCCATCCCTTCTCACGCCGCTCTCCCTGTCCGTCCTTCACCCCCTGTGCGTCCGACGTGGCAGATCATCGACGTGCTGCACCCCGGCAAGGCTAACGTGTCCAAGGTACGATCCTCCCGCGCTCCCCGCGTTCCTCTGTGTGCCTCCCCTGCAGCGCGATTCACTCTTTCCTTGCGCTCCTGTTTCTCCGCGCACCTTCTCTCCACTGCCCGTCCCGTTTCAATGTCCGCCCCTCCCCCAATTCCCCTCCCGTCTCCCTTGCCTCTCTCCACACTTCTCAACCCCTTCACTCCCCGTCGCTCTTTGCGCTCCTGCTTCTCCCCGTACCTTCTCTCCACTGCCCGTCCCCTTTGAATGTCCGTGCCCCACCCAATCCCCCCAATTCCCGCCCCTCTTCCCCTCTCCCCTTCACCTCTTCTCCTCCCTGAAGTCGGAGTTGATCAAACTCACATCCCTCTGTTCCGTTTTCCCATCCCTCTCCCCACTTTCCCCTTCCCTCCCCCTTTTTTTTGTCCCTCCCCTTTCCTTTGTCCCTCCCCTCTCTCCCTCCCGTTTCCCCACCCTTTTACCCGCCCCTTCCCCCGCCCTTACCCCCGCCCCTTCCCTCTACTCCTCCCCCCGCCGCTCCCTCCTGCCCTTCCGCCTCCCCTTCCGCGCATCTCCGCGCGCCAGTCGGAGCTGAAGGAGAAGCTGGGCGCCATCTACGAGAAGAGCGACCTGTCGTGCATCTTCGTCTTCGGCTTCCGCACGCAGTTCGGTGGCGGCAAGTCCACGGGCTTCGGGCTCATCTACGACAATCTCGAGGCCGCCAAGAAGTTCGAGCCCAAATACCGCCTCGTCAGGGTGAGCAATGGAGGGGTCGCGGGTTCGAGTCCTGTATGAGATGAATTTTCTAGGTGTATCTGCTGACGGCGGCAAGTCCACGGGCTTCGGACTCATCTACGACAACCTCGAGGCCGCCAAGAAGTTCGAGCCCAAATACCGCCTCGTCAGGGTGAGCAGCCGAGAGGTCGCGGGTTCGAGTCCTGTAAGAGAGTGTGTTAGTGTTATGAGGTGAATCTGCTGACGGCGGCAAGTCCACGGGCTTGCTCATCTACGACAACCTCGAGGCCGCCAAGAGGTTCGAGCCCAAATACCGCCTCGTCAGGGTGAGCAACCGAGAGGTCGTGGTTCGAGTCCTGTAAGAGAGAGTGTTTCTAGGTGAAGCGGGGTCTCATCCAGACAAGGGAAAAATCCAGAAGCGTCTAAGTTTGGTTCAAATGCAATGCTTCTCTGTAAGGTCATAGTAGGCGGATGCCTGAACGAGGTGACGGCATCGTTTCGCCACGTCAGAGACAAGTGCAGCGAATACATTGCCTAGGCTAATCGCTTTGGCAATGCCTTTCCTGCGCCTCCGCTCATTCTTGGGGAGTGGGAATTGTCAGAGTCAAAGGTGTGGTAACAACCTATGGTATGCCCTTGACACCCTCACTGACCCGTTGTCCTTGTGTTGTCTTGCCCCTCGATCCTCCCCTCCCCTTTTCTCCCCGGCGTGTGTGTATGCTTCTGGTTGTTGGTGTGGTGGCCTCATGTTGAGTGGTGCAGAACGGTTTGGAGGAGAAGAGGAACAAGGAGAGCCGCAAGCTGATGAAGGAGAGGAGGACAAGAGCCAAGAAGATCCGTGGTGTCAAGAAGGTGAGTGCCTCAGCAGTGGGCCGAATTTTCACTGCAACTGTTGGATTTTATACACATTTGTTTCCTTTCTGTGGTATTGTGCTGCATTATAACATCCGATATCTGGTTTATGTTGTTTGTTGATGCAGACCAAGGCTGCCGCTGCTGAGAAAAAGAAGTAAGATAGCGGATACATGGCCAGCTGGGGTCACACTTAGGGCAATCCAGGACTGTTCATGGTTATGTCATGGGGTAACACAGAAGATCTGCAGATTGATGCTAGCTAGCAGCGTGGTTGAAGTGGTTTTATCCCATATTGCTAGTTCTGCATCTCTTTGCCAATGTCTCTTTGTAATCCTGTGGTAACGCAAATCAAGTCACATCGTATGGGAAAATCAATTCAATTAGAAGCAACTCAATCTGATGTGATTACTTTCGGTACAGGATAAGTTTGTCATAAAAACTTCCGGCGCAGTGTACGTGTTGCTGCAGAGGAAGATACAGAATCAGCACTTACGATCGTAAGGGGTTCGACATGATTTTGCGGGTTGGAAGAGCGTTAAGCGCGGGTACAGTATGGTGACGATTTGATTGATATTTGACCCTCGAATCCCAATCTTGCCCAACTTGACTGAACCGCGTGTATGGTTTGGAGTGTGGTGACTGGTCATGTCGAGCCAGGAAACGACGCGCAGAACCACCATGGTGGGCACGAACTGCCAGAAGTCAGGGCAAGGGGCAGTCGATTGGGCTGGGATGGAGGCGATTAGAGAAGGAAAGAGACGAATCAACAGGCAGAAGGACAAGCTGGCGATGCGACACTGCCCTCGCAAATTGTGGGAGTACACATGATGCCTGTTTGAGCCATTCCCGGTTGCCTTGTGAAGGGGGCGCATAAGCTGTCACGTGCTTCTCGCAAAATGTTCGTCAATTCGCAGCTGGCTAAAACGGATTCGCAGGTGCTTATATAAAGGATCTGTAACCTTATCCGTTGACATTTTGACTTCAGTCTCTTCAGTTTGACTTCTGTCTGTTCGTTACTATTGGTTCATAGCCACGCGACGCGCTTGTAACGTGGGTGCAACAATCTGGGGAAAAAACCTCGGGTGCAGCGTTTCCATCCGGTGCAGAGCAAATTCGCGTGCATGGGGTGGGCATCACTTGTATTTATTTTGGGTTTGTAGCTTCCCACCCAAAATCGAATGTTCTGACGAACAGTACGGTTTTCGGCTTCGAATTGCGAAGTCACTCGCAAACACTTCAGCGAATGAAGAGGAGAAAAAAGTGATTCCAGTCCACGGTACAGTTGGAGGCAAAGTCAAACTGTACACTGTCGAGCTCTTTCACGCGGTGAACCGTCACATTGGATAGGATGGGCCGTCACGCAAGCTGGTTCTGGAGACTGATGACAAAAGCGTTCCCTTCCCAGCCGCCTTACTGTAACGCGATACGTGTACCGTATTGTTTTCTGATTACAGGGACTTGATCACCCAAAGTAAATTTGCACCTCGGATACCCTGAGACCACGGATCTGTGAGTCGTTTGGGTGCCCAAACATGAAGGGTTTCGATGGAAACCCTACAAACTCGTAGTTTACAGTACACTAATAACGCATCCGGACAATTCGAGACACATTCGAGAATCTGCAATCCTCAAAACGTGAGTGTGCAGTGTGCAGAACAATCATGCCCAAACCAAACCAAACACCTTTGAATTGAAGTCACGGTTCCAGACTGTGGGAAGGAATCCATTATCATTTCATTCACAGAAAGAATACGGGATGCAGATTCTGATGTTGTGTTGCGTTGGTCTTGCTGTCGTTGCATTATGCACAGGCCTACGCCCAAAAGTCAGGGAACGCTTCTGCTTCTGTGATGGTCTGTGGCCAGTGTAACGACGAAAGGAAAGGAGTCGGTGCATGGTTCGGCTGGAGGACCGAGGCGGCGCACTGTGAGCCACGGCTGCATTCGGCGCATCAGTCGTAACGAGGAACTTCTGGAGATGAATTTGGAGCAACGAGGCAGTCCCTCTCCGTTCCGTACCTCACAACGGTGTATTTAGTGAGGTGAAGGCGCAGCTTCTCTTTCTACACTGAACCGTCGTGTTTCTGACTTATCTCTAGCTTCAAGTCTTTTCGCGATCAACATTTGAACTTTCACGTGCTAGTAGCTTCTTCTACTGATTCAGCTATTTCTTCAGCAGCATGTCTGCCGCTGTCTGCCTTCCAGTGGCCACGGATTCGCAGTATCGTCGTCGCAAGCGAGTACACAGCCTTTCCGTAGATCTCTCGCGCATTCCAGGCCTCGCCCACCGACCATCACCTTCCTCGTCGCACTTACTGCTAACGAAGCCCGCAACCATCCTCGAAATTCCCGCTTCCTCGTCTCGCCGCGAACATGACCAGCGCAACTCCCGCCGCATCCTTCCTAGCGGTTCGTCCGCTTCCAATCCGCGTGTTTTAGACGGCGAATGCATCTCGCCGTTGTCCACGTCACCGTCATCGTGGCGACCACGCTCCCCCACCGTCGTCCGCAGCCCGCACGCGGAGATCATCCGCCAGAAGGCGGAATCGGCGCAAGCGCGCGAGGCGGAGATGGACCGCGCGTGGGAAAGCGCGGAGCGCGCATGGGAAAGCACCTACGCCGCAGAGCTTCCCGCAACCAACTCTACTGTGAAGGAGCGCGGTAGTCAGCCTAACGTGAGCCGATGCTGCGGAGGGGATAGTTACGCCGATGACGAAGATTCTCTGAGCACTTCGCCGCTTAAGCGGCTCAACGGCTCCAAGTTTGCCGCGTGGCGCTCTCTTCTCTCCCCTGCTGCATCCCGTCTCCTGACACAGCCACTTAATCTGAGCCGTACAAATGCTCGTGAACGATGCGGTCTTGGAGTCAAGGATAGCTCACGAAGCTTCCACGCAATGCTGGTGGACCTCCAACGAGGCATCGAATCAGGGGCGCGGGAGGGAGCATCGTCGCCCAGCACCGTCGCGGCGCGCTCGCCCTCGGCGACCGACGTATCTCACGCCACCGACGCGCATCCGCGCTGCCTTCATCGGCGCGCCCGGTCGCTCAGCAGCATTACTACGACCCAAGAGTTTTCCCTCGTCGAGGACTCCGCAGCTGATGTTCTTTCTAAGCCGTCCGATCTTCAGAAATTGTTCCAGCAACGGCGAAGATGCGGCGTGCCGCGAGGGGCATGATACGGAGAACGACGCTGCGAGAGCGGGCAGCGGAGCGTCGGAAGAAGTCGACATTCATCGCGATGATGGGGCTCTCGCAAATCGACAACCCGCCGGCGTCCTGTCGCCGAATGCCTCTAATAAGTTCGTCAATCCACGTGGTCGCCGATTGGTCAAGCAGTGGGGAAGCGCCGGATCGATTCCTAGGTCATCTGCCACGCAAGTGGCCGGCCATTCCAATACATGCTCTAGCCCTACAAGCCTAAACCTTCCTAACCCAAGCCCTACAAACCTTTCTGGCGGCGGCTGCGCGTCTCCACCCTCACCCGTCCCCTGCCTTGTGCGGCGACACACCAGCGCTTCACCCTTTCACGGGCGTGGCGCTAGCGCTCATCTTACTGCGCCCAGCCACGGGCGGAAGGTGTCGTTCAATTCTGTAGTTCAGGTTAGAGTGTACATGTGTGCAGAAACATGATTTCCTTCAGTAGAAAGGCTTGCAGCTTGCAGAAATCCAGGTCTTGATTGTAATTGGAGCTTGAATGTATATTTGCGACCATTCATTATTTTGAAAATCTTGCTATGTGCACCCCATCCATCCCCTCATTTGTCAAAGAGCCCCTAGAAGTAAGCCTGAAATGAGCCCAAAGTTCTATAATATTCAATCTGGGTTGGCTTGGCTATATGCCCTAGGCGGTACCACTTCACAAAATAGAGAAACCCTCATATAACCATATGAAAGCACCAAATAGAGAAGACTAAAAACCAGCTTTATAACCTGAAATCAAATATTTTGCTTTCTAATCAATAAAGAATTTCTCTCAAGAAGAATCAGGCTTCCCTCCAACGTGGACAAAAGTGCTAGGCCCTGATGGGTACCACCCTTAAGCGGAGTAAGTGAGCTTCGAGGGAGTTCACTAACTCCCGCTTCGCACGTGCGACGGAAGTTTACTCACTCCGACGTGGCTTACTCCGAGTAAGCCAAAATGAGGAAACGATCGCTGAACTACCTACTCGGAGCACGACTCGAAGTGGCCCTTCAGGAAGTTTCGTTCACGGGCAAACTTAGCTCCGCGGAGGAACTCCGCTTACTCCAGCATTTTGGGAGAGTAACGGCGTGTTGCAATTCCCGGTGCACTGCATCGGCTCGGCTCGAGTTGGCACGAGCCAGGTCGTGCCAGCCTCGCGCCTCGGGAACCTCGAAATTTCGTCATGAAGTTCGAGGTAGTTGTGCAGCGATTTCCTGACACGAGTCAGGAAATCGCCAGATTGGCGAGGGCAGAGTGGCGGTTTGGCAGCGGGTGTTAATTTGCTGGCACGTGTCAGGTCGTGCTGGCTCGAGCCAAGGCGATGCAGTGCACTTACTCGGCTCGGGGCATGCCGTGCCAAGTCAGGGCACTGCGTTGACTCGGCCTCCCGCTTACCTGGAGCCTTCCAAAACCCGTGCCCCGAGCCGAGCCGACGCAGTGCACCGGGAATTGCAACACGCCGTAAGCCTCGCTTACTCGGAGTAAGGCCTCGAAGGGCGAACCCGATAACACCGCAGATTTTGTTTTTGTTCTTGCGGGGACACCCTCCTCAAACACCTTTAGAACTTCCCATCCACTCCCAGTGGTTCTTGATGGTGTCATTTTGTGGTCCAGTTACCCCTTTGTGGGAATTTATTTTCTTGGTGACGAGTGGGGCAGTCTGGGCCGAAAGCAACAGTGTTTCTAAGGAAATCGCGCTCACGAACCTCGCAACTTCCCTACGCGGAGTTTCGAGGGCGTGCCGATCACCCCTCGGAGTTGGGAAACTTACAGGAGGAAAGGGGAAAGCACCCACCGACACGTGCCCACACTCGTGAGTCGGTGTACTCCTGTTCGAGTGCCAACGCAGCGGAAGTACTCGGCTTAGGGGCTACCGATCAGGGCCCTAGTGTCATAGTGGAAGTTTGTAGCTGGCTCAAGTAAAAATCTTCGGTGTGTTTTGGTGAAGCTGGTGTGTCAGCAAACAGGTGGCGAAGCATTCGGATGACCAGATCGAAAAGTCGGCTGTCGAAAAGTCGGAAAGCAAAAGCAGGAAGAGTCCCCCTCAGAACAGAACAACAATTCGGGAGGGATCCTGTCCGTGGAATGCTTGCAGCAGACGCTTCAGAAAAGTGAAGGCAGCCCACGTGATTGGGCAGCCTGATTGCAATCTGCCCGTGAAATAGGCAGAGTGCAATTTTATGATTGGCTTCTGGAAGATGGGATTCCAACTTTACTGGGTTGTGGTGTGTGTGTGCAACCGATCAAATCGATGCATGAACGTCTCCCCCCCCTCCACCCAACCGCATACATGCGGCACATCGATACGTCGAGACAAGGGTCACAACTGGCTTGTTGTGCGGGTCAGTGTGCCGCATGCACGTCTGCCTAGACCAAGTGATCTCTTTCCACCCTGACTTACTTAGGTTTAGGTTTCGTTCAGTGACGTGAATATGTATTCTACAATTTGAAATGTCAAATTTGTTCACACGGAACTGATGAAATCCGCTCACCTTCACCTCGAATTATGCCAAGTATACTCTTACCTTGAATTCAGTACGTAGTCGGGACGGGATCTTTACAGTACGTCCAATTACAAGTCCCCGCAAGAATCCTAGTTTCGCCACTGGCTTTCGACTAGTAAAAGGACAGAGTGCTTGACTTCTCTTCTCAACAGAACGTCCCACGCACGATTCAGGCATGAAGAGTCGCACGATTGATTTCACCGCTAATGCTAACGGATTGGGACTGCTCCTGACGGACTCGTTTCTGCCGACTGCGGAACTCGCTTCTGCCACACGGCTAATATGCACAAACGGTGGTACCGTTTTCTCACTGTTGTAGCGCACCATAAAAAAAAACTGTACAACAGCACGGCCCTCCGCAGATATATACTACCCCCGTTCGAGAATGACAAACATTCGACTTCCGTCAGACGAAAGAGGGGCCAAACCCTTTCTCAAGCTCGCAGCTAGCATCCCTCCCACGCCTGTCAACTGCAGGCCTTAGCATTCGCGGCTGATCCGCCGCGAATCGTTGTAAGGGAGAAGGGACGCCACGCGGCGCAAAAAATAATGTCGCAGTTGCACCAAACCCCGCGCCCGTCGCGGAGGCTCAACCTCTCTCTGAATCTCGCGGTCGTCCCGAGTTTCGACGCGCCTGCCGAGCCGGCTCCATGGCGGGACGAACGCGACTCGGAGTCCGAGTCCCCGCCGAATGGGCGCTTGACAGACAGGAAGCGCCGCGACGAAGCATTGAACGCCGCGCCGCCCTCACTGCACCCTACCGCCATCGTGACCACCACCGCTGCTGACGCCGCAAAGCTCTCATCCAGAGTTTTTCCGCATTTGTCCGCCGATCTGGCGGACGGTCCATTGTCCTCCGCAACTTCCCGCACAGACATGATTAAGCGACCTGGCAGTGCCTTCTTACCGCCGGTGGCACCGCCTTTTTCTCGTTCTCTGTCCTCCTCCGCACTGGGAGACTCTGCTCGTGGCTTCTCCCCTCGCTCGCCCTTCTCTCTGTCCTCCAATCAAAGCTCGGGAAGATTGTCGTCTTCGTCCTCGTTATTGTCGCCTCAGACGCCATCACCCTTCAGCGGAGGGAATGGATGCAGATCTCCTACTCGGGATGGGTCTACTATCCGCAGCCTGAGTGCTTCCCGAGTGCCTTCCTGGTAGGTTTCTCACTCTCTCCACTCTCCTACCTGTTGACCTGGTTCATATCCTACGTATTGTTTTACAATAAGTGTTTTTTTCTACCGATTTAGACAGCTTTGCAGTCGAAAACGAACCTCTGCAGGTGGTTGGCTCCGTGCTGTGCACGATAAGCTTGTGTGGTCTGCTGCACGGATTGTCTTCTATCCGCCTTACCCTTCCTCTTGCTTCCAACTTCCTCCTTGTCCTTCCGATCACCCTCTCTCCCTTCGTGCTGTCCCACTTCCTCCCGAGACTCTCAGCTCCCCGCTCTCTCTCCAGCTCACCTTTTCTCCCTCTTCTTTTCCCCCTCCGATCCGCGTTTCACCCTGAACTGCACCCGATGCAGCACTACTGCGCGAGTGACAAAAGCACCTGCTACAGCCGGAACAAGTATGCACGGCAGCACGCAAGGCAGCACGCAAGGCAGCACGCAAGGCAGCACCCAACGCAGCACCAGCATCGTGTTGAAGAGCCAACCACAAAGACAAGCCGCTGCTGCTACCAGCGATACCGGCGCTGCCGTTTCCACCCCAAGCACCCGCCCCCCGCTCTCCCCTCACTCTCCGCCCTCCCCTCACCCTCTGCCCTCCCCTCACTCTCCGCTCTCCCCTCACCCTCCGCCCTCCCCTCGCCCTCCGCTCTCCCCTCGCCCTCCGCTCTCCCTTCGCCCGCCGCTCTCTCGTGCTTCTGCAATTTCACCAGGGCTGGAACAACGCGTTGCTAAGACCCTCACAGCAAGCGGTGACGCTGCAGCACCCCTCCCCCGTCTGCGCCCAACCCTTACAACCGTGCCCACGTGGCAGCCGCCGTCCCCCACACCTGTCACGTCCACGTGGCAGCCGCCGTCCCCCACGCCCGTGTCCACGTGGCAGCCGCCGTCGCCCACGCCTGTGCGCAGCCCGCACGCGGAGCGCATTCAGCAGCGCGCGGCGGAGGCCAAGGCGCGGCAAGCTCAGATGGACAAAGCGTGGGGCGCGCTGCTGCTGCAGGACGACGACCACCATGATCATCAACAGCTACCTGCTGCTGCTGCTGCTGCTTCTTCTTCACCTGTTGCTTCTGTTAGTCCTGCTACTGCTGCTACTGCTGCTTCTGCTACTGCTGCTGAAACCCAGCCCAGCCTTTCAACCAATCGCACCTCTTCACCCAATACTATTGCTCCAACCGACGCTGCTTTTACGAGCACAAATATTCGAACGTCCCTGTCAGCTCCAACAGAAGCTTCACCAGGCGAATCTGCTGCTGGTGGTGCTGCAAAGCCGTCCTGGGGTGCTTCCTGGCGGCTTCTGATGGCGTCAGGGCGAAGCCTCAAGGGTAGGAACAACAGCTTCACGGCACCTAACGAGGGTGACAGTAACGAGTATGCTGCTAGAAGGGATGAGCCAGGGAGCCTGAGTGGCGCTGCAGGTGCTACTGCCAGGCCATCAGGAGGGCTGACTCGTGGCGTGGTGGCGTCTAAAGGAGGGAGCAGGAGGAGGATGTGCCGGTCCTTGTCTCTCAGTGATGGCTTGCTGGCTGCTGTTGCTGCTGCTGCTGCTAATGATGGTGATGGCACTGGCACTGGCAGTGGTGGTGGTGGTGCTGCTGCCGCTTTTGTTGCTTCAGGCGGTCACAGCATTGTGGGAACCGAGACAACTGGAGCAGATGCAACTCCCAAGGCACGTCATGGCTCTTTGGAGCGGCCGGATCCTTCATCGCTCTTCGGCAGCAGCGAGTCGTCTCATCTCTCGGCATGCGCAACACGTGCCTCTGACCACCCGGCCTTCCAGCCGTTGCTTCCGCCGGACGAACTTGGACCGTTTGCTATGACCAAGACGCTGAGTGACAGCAACATCAAGCTTCTGACCGACGGCCAAGACCATTTTCCTGCTTCCCCCTTCCGAGACAGCGCACTTCAGGGCAGTTCGCCAGAGTGCTCAGTACTCTACTCCTGTGCCATTCCCACTCCCAGTCCCGAGGCAGAAGCCTCGACCAGCCAATCAGCTCCTCTGGGAAGGTGTCATGCTAGGACCACCGCCACTACCCGGGGTTTGCACAGGAGAGGCACACCGCGGATGCTCTCCGCCTCCTGCTCCGACCTGCCGCAGCTGCAAGCAACGGCGGCTCTGCACTCACCGGCTCTGCACTCACCGGCTCTGCACTCACCAGCTCTCCACTCACCAGCTCTTTTTGAGCCGACCCATAAGTCAGCTTTCCACACAGCGGCACGGCCTCCCTGCACTCCTGATTCGTCGACCGCGAAGAACCCTTCTGGTGGTAGAGTCACGAGTAGCAGGGGTAGCGCGCAGCAAGTGAGCGCATCCTCATTCTCAAACCTCCAGAATCTGCAAGTTCTCCCCCCCGTCATCCGCTCCCCTCCAGCCGCTTCCACCACAGCCGCTCCCCCCCCAGCCGCCATCATCCTTTCCTCCGCTGATTCGTCCCCGGCGATTGGATTCTCTAACAGCGCCGCCACTGCTAGTGTTGGTGTCGCGGCCGGTCAGCAGCGGAGCAGCGCCGGCACAGCAAGGCGGGTGGTACCGGCAAACGGATTCTTCAGAAGCGCGTCCACGACGTCGTCATGCTCCGATCTGGAGGATCTGCGAGCTGCTGCTGGTGCTGGTGCTGGTGTTGGTGCTGCTGCTGTAATTCCCTGCAGGAGGGATCCAAAGATGCAAGTCCCTCTCTTCTCCGCTGATGATTCCTCGGCTGCAGGCGCGCTTCCCTGTGCATCGCTTCCGCGTCGCAGCTTATCGTCGTCGTCAGCGCTCTCCTCCTCCGCTCCCTTGCTGCCCGTCTCGCCGCTTGTTACAATGGGGGAGAATGGAGCGGGGCAGCGGAAGCTGCGAAAGAAGGTGTCGTTCAACTCCATTGTTAGGGTTCGGACGTTCATCTCCACGCTTGACATGGAGCCTGCGTATGAGGCAGCACCAGTAGCATCATGCTGAGGTGCGGGAGTGTGGAACGAGCAGGTGCAGCTCCGAAAGAGGGTGTCATTCAACTCCATTGTTAGGGTTAGGACGTTCATCTCCACGCTTGACATTGAGCCTGCGTATGAGGCAGCACGTGTAGAATGTTAGGATGGTGCTCTGGTGAGGAACATGTGAGACAGTTCCGCTAAGCGGAGGTGGATAACGTGAAGGGGAGTCAAAACGGCACAGAATCCTGGGTGCAAGGTTGAGGAGTCAGGCGTCGTTAGCCCGATGAATTCAAACATCTAATAGGAGCGTCTCATGACCGCTTTCATGACACCATTATCGCGAATCTGATTGTATATTTTAATAAAGAACCTATCGTACCGATGTTTGTACTACGTGGGGTAAGGACCTCAACTGACGGAACTGAAATCTCGATACTAGGCCGGTGACAGTCGTGAGACTTTGGATACGTGGAGTCCTGGCAGTTATCGCAAAAGGCGTGCGAGCTGTTCATCGGCTAGCTGATCCTAAACTCGAATCGGCTAGCTGATCCTATACTCGAAGCTATAGATGCCTATGTTGAGGAATGACGAGAAATATTTCAGTGTCATAGCAGGGTTTAGGTACCCACCGGTATTCGATCTCGTGGTTTGAAACTACGGTAGGGAACATGGAAATCTGAGAATATCGTTAGAGAACTCTATCCAGAGCAGCTTTTAGAGGAGACCCGTATCAAGTAAGAAGATACACTATGGAAAGCATACATCCACAGTACCATAATATTCTGAAATATCTTTTCACATATTTGTGAATAAGCGGCAGAACTAGTCTGGAAGAATTCATATTCTCACTGGTTATCGACAACTGAAAGTGAACTAACCAGGGAATCGAAATCGATTAATATTAAGTAACTAAGAAAGGTTTGAGAGGGTGAAAAACATTTGTAACGGAATTTCAGACCGTTTCATGCTGTTTCTTGGAATCAGAACTCAATGTCGCGTTTTTCGGCTGCAGTGACCAGGTTCCTCTGCCTGTATCCGAACCTAGTTGTTGGCCCAGCAGCAACCATGCTCTCAACCGTGCAGTTTCTGCACTCCTGCCCAATTTTGGGCACATACGTGGCACTCTGCTGGCTTACGAGCGACCGTTTCAGATCCAGCGTCATTCCCCGCATCTACCGTCCTTTTTCCGCTTTTTGAGCTGTCAAATGTCGCTAATCTGCACCGACGTGGAAGTGTCCAGCATGAATTTTCCGTCAGCATCTCGCACAGCCTTCCATCTCTCTCCTTCCCACTTCGGTTACTCGTCATCGACATCGACGCGGTACGATGGCGTGGCAGATAGAGCCAACCCCCACCCCAAACAGCGCATCAACTCGCGGAGATTCCGCGTGGTCCGATCGGCGGTGGTCCCCACACCCCACCGTCTACCTTCCCCTTCGTTCTCCGCCAAGCCACATCCTGCTCACCACGATTCAGGAGCACACACACACATACCAGTGTCCATCCAACCAAAGCACCTGGAAATTGTACCTACCGTTGGCTGCATGCTCCGCTCCATTACATATTGAACCTAGACTGTGTTGTACCATGGTCCATTGATCATCCAATTCCTGTTTCTTCGTCCGTTCAGAAGTCATCATTTGCTGCTGCTCACCGTCTTCTACGGCGTCCTGCTCGACTTACGTTTCTCGAGTTCATTTCTCCTAGTCATCACCCTTTTTTACGCTAACGCCACTATCATGGCGGAGACACAAGACGTCACCATGATCTTTGTTCACATGAGCAACCGCAGCCTTTCGGAATCGTCGGCTTCATCGCAGCAGGTGTCGTCCTTGATGAGACGGAGTCTCACTGACGGGTCATCCTCGTTATCCAGCGAGAGCCACGGGTTTCAATCTACCGTGAAATCCATGTCCTGCCGCATTGATACTGCTCGGCGTAGCATGCTTGGCGACTCGTGGTGGGTTTCAGCTTGAACTGCCATCTCGTATATTGTCTCACCTCACGCGATCCTGCTCCGAAGATGGTTGCCTTCCGGCCTTAATGTCCAGCAGTTGGTGGATCGCGTATTGGCACACGCGAAGGCGGTCGGTGCCCAATGTTCATAGAGATGGTTGTGGATATGCGGATGGTTTCAGTACCCTACCTACCTAGTGTGTTGTACATGTGGTATTGTGCTTCCAGCCACCATTTAGATGGGGCAGTGTATAGGCAATGGCCTGAAAGGCCTTGCGGTCCATTTTTGTGTCTTGCAAGTTGTACATGAGCTGTTTATATCTCCATTATTTGAATTTTGTCGTTAGTGACTATGTTGTGGATATTGGCATACGATAAGCAGTAATGTATAGCCAGATGAGAGCTTTGTGAGAGCAGCTCACGTTGCTTACTGTCTGTCAACAAGTGAGCTGAACAGGCACAAACGACTGGGAAAATACTTCCAAGGCATGTGGTGTATGTACAATGGTCCTAAACAAATTCACTGTTCTTCGCACATGTCCGGAGGATAATGAGTAAATGACTGGTCACCCGCTATCCACATGAATCAAATGTGCCCTAGATTGGCTATGGTACCCTAGTTACTGGTGGTACATATCCAGTAGACTAAACATCATGAATTGTCAGAGTCGGTGTCGTCTTCAAGTGGGACCTCATGTCGGGGAGCATTGTACTTGTCCCGAAGAGGCTTGCAGGGAATGAAGTCACCTCGAGAGTCAGCTCCATAAAACAAAAGATACAGGTATGGGTGGATCATTTGCTCCTGCAGGGAGAAGGGATGGCATGAGGATGTTAACAGAGAAGTCCGAAAAAAAGCATGGTACGACGATAGACCGGAGGTTGACAGGGAGAGGGAGTGGTTGGATTGGAACAAATTACCTTATCAGGCTCCTCAGGGACTTCAAGCAGGTCCTCCGCAACTGCCAGCCAAACAGCCCAACAAAGGTACCGGTATTTTAGATAAATAATCACACCAATTGCCATCAGTTCCATGATACGTGATGAGCCTGTTGAGCACAAAATATCGAGGCTGCAATCACGAGTTGGCCAAGAACTAAAGAACACACTTACCATATGCAACCGGAAACCTAGCTCCATTGCCCAAGTCAAGTAAGATCTGCAAAAAGGGGATAAAAGAGGGCAATGAGTTTACCAGCCATTCTGCTGACATGAACAACAACACACGAATCGATTCAAGCCATGAAAAGCCGGAGCGAGGTGGCAGCTGCATCACTACACATGTCCATCCAGACGAACCTGGTAGAAGGGCTGGTTTGGACCCCGCGTCAGACGGCTAATCTTAGCTCCTGACATCCACTCCTCTGTCTCACAGCACATGGGGTCCATTCCAGCGACAATGCCTCCATAGCCTGGGCGAACAGGTAGGTGAGCGGAGATTCGAGAAAGAACAGGTTGGGCTAAGAAAGCGGGGACTGGATCCAGGCACAGAAGAACGAAAGGCCGGGGGAGCAATCTGGCCAGGCATTCAAAGCTGAGATAATGACCCAAACCAAACACTTCTCTGAACAATGACTCACCAAATTCTTTGTGAGTAACTTTCTGCCCTAGCCGGAGCTTGTAAGTGACATTGCCCATAGCCAACGCTGCAGCAGAAGCTGAAGCGTGTCACCCTGCAAAATAGAGAGCACTACTCAATCAAAAGTTTGATAGTCAAGCGTAACTGGTGCTCAATAGTGTAGCAGTGAACTTTCCGACACCCCAATTGATCCACTGGTGCGAATTCACTACTTTTGCAGCCAAGAAACGTACCTCTAGTTGGCTCATTTTCTTTCTGATTTCTGCTGCTTCCTCATAAAGCTCCTGCTCCACTGCTCGCTGCAGCCCTGCCCTGTCAGTAGCATCCAGGATCCACATAATAAGTTAGATTAGACAACAATCAGAGAACTTCTGGAGCATACGTAATCCGCTATGCACAAAATAATGTCACAGAGGAATCCGTACACGAACTTCCTGACAGATGTTCTTACTTGAGGCGTAACAAGGCTAAGCCCTTGTCTTGAGCTGCTTCTTTGGATGAGGTGCCCATCTTTGCTTCTCTCTGTCGTGCGATTTCACGATCAAGCTGCCACAGCAAGATAATCAGAGAACAAGGCCGCCGAGAGTAAGAGTCGGATCTGAAGACAACGATACGCGACCATCACCTGCATTACTCAGGAGTCGAACCACATCTTTTGTCTTACCTCCGCGATTTTTTCCCGGAGTAGTTGAGCAGGTTCATACTGGTCCAAGTTGAGCGCTTTCTGCGGAACGAGTAAGGAGGATCGAATAATCTCTTTCCAGGTGAAAAAATAGCATTGGTCTAACGGAATCGACATTGCAGACTGTTGTTCTGGCATGATGCTGCTAGCACGTGAGAATTCTCTTGATGAATAAAAACAACGAAAATTCCCCTCACCTGAAGCCTGGTATTCAGATCGAGTTGGTAGAAGAAGAGCAGCAGCTCCTCATTCACCATGGTGCTGTGCTCAACGGATGGATCTAGACCAGCATTCCCGCTGGTAGACGACGCTCGTGTAACCGTCCGATGACGGTGTGATTCAGGACGCATGGAACGGTGTGACTGTGACAATGCACCGGAAAGACTTTGACGTCCATGAAATAGATCGTTTGTATGATTTGAGAACGAATGGTTGAGACATTGGCGTAGCGACCCTGACGGGGAATGAGGTCGTCGGCAAGGAATTCGTGAGTCGAGTGAATTAATCGCTTGAAATGTCCGACGCCTGCGACTATGATAAGAGGTCGTATGCTTCAAGAGTGTACCAGGCTGGACATGGGATACGATGCAAGATTGCGACATGTCGCTAGGTGCTGATTGTCTTGGTTGTCGAGCCAAGAACGCCAAGCACGGCGCTGAACACAAAGGAATGCTCGCCCTAGAGCGCCTTGCAAGTAACAAAACCACGGGGCCCGCGAGTCTGGGCTAGTTTACTTCACTTATCTTACCATTCCTACTACCAAATATTCTCCATTCTGGCCATGGCTTCTGTCGGGATTTGGGCCAGAACTATC